GATAGAGCTAACATATTTGGTTGGATAGATGTGAGTTTGTGACCCTGGGTTTCACGCTTTAGCGATCGTCAGACAAACTGATTAATGTTTTAAAAATTTGGGTTTATGTAGATTGTGTGTATTGGTGTTATTGTGGAAGTGGTGGGGAAATTTCGTCGTTTTGTCATTCATCGTACTAACGCAAACATCAATATATGCAGACACATATACATACTTTGGTCGTCCATCGGGACTCATACATATATAAACATATGTGGGCAGTTTCGCTATGACATATGTATGTATAGAACGGGTGGTGTTATATCTATACATACGCATTTATGTTAAAAATGTAAAGGGATTGGAGACAATGATAGCTAATAGTTATTATAAATTGGTAGAAATTGTAAATTGGTATAAATATATAACGGTGGTGGGAGAATGATAAAACCATGAATGTAGTTATAGTGATGGTAGCTTGAACTAAAAACTTGTGGATTTTTTGATTATTTTATTTTTGATTATTTAAATAATCAAAAAACAACAAACATTACTATCACATCACATCATATCATATAGACCCGTTATTAAATTGAATTATACTCTCACCCAGCACATTGAATATTAAACTAAACATCACCATATAAATTAACCAATAAGGATTACAAATTTCTACCTGTTACATATACACAGTCACCAAAAACAAACAAATAACCAGCTTTAAATATAACAAATAAACCCCCATTTTTTTTCAAAAATTTAAAAATAAATATAAATAATAATAATTTTTACCTATCATAATTTTACACAAACCCCACCACACGTATATACATACATGCGAGGAAATATTTTTCAGTGAAAAAAAAAAACATAATATGACATGTATACACATACGAGACATAACGAGACATTTCCGCCACACTTCCAATGTTTAAATTTCAACATAAAAATGCGTATGTATAGATATAACACCACCAGTATACATACATGTGTCATAGCCGAAACTGCCCACATATGTTTATATATGTATGAGTCCCGACGGACGACCAAGTATGTATATGTGTCTGCATACATTGATGTTTGCGTTAGTACGATGAATGACAAAACGACGAAATTTCCCCCACCACTTCCACAATAACACCAATACACGCAATCTACATAAACCCAAATTTTTTAAAACATTAATCAGTTTGTCTGACGATCACTAAAGCGTGAAACCCATGGTCACAAACTCACATCTATATATATATATATATAATATATATATATATATATATATATATATATATATATATATATAAACAATTATAACAAAAAAATGTTATAATAAATGCAATCATGTTTCGGCACTGTGCTTTTTCAGGCAGTGGTGGCCAAGTGGAGAAAAAATATTAAGTTTGACTCTGTATTGAGCACTTTTTTAAAATATAATATTTGAACATTGGTATTAACCTACCTTACACTTGGATGGATATATATTTTCTGAATCCCAGATCATACTAACAGCTTTGTCTCCAAATGAGAGATTATTTTATTCAACTCCATTTCAACTTTGCTTGAACTAATATAATTATAAAATGTCAAAATCATAACTTTGAAAAATTTTTATATTTACCTAAAAAATGAAGCAAAAAATTAATAGAATAATAAATAAGGAATAACAAGGAATATTATAAAATATCAATTAAAATTATTTTTTAAGAAACAGTAAAAATGTTTACCTTAAAAGTAGCAATTTAATACTACCTCTTTTCCCAAAATAGATCAATATATTTATAAGTAAAAACAAAAAAAACCTAAACTAAATGAAATTATTAATTCAGTGTTTTTGAAAAAAAAATTTTTGCATTTAAATAGCATTAGTTTAATGTTTTGGTAGCTGGTTTACATTTCAAAGTTTTTATTTATTTATATGCCTAAATTGATAGGAATTTCAAAGTAACTATTCTTAAATTTCTACCCATAGTTTATACAGGTGTCATTATTTAAATTTCAAGTTTTGTTTACCTTTGACAGTTTGCTTTGAGATATTTTGTATTAATTTAAAAAAATACTAATATCTCGTTCAGATGTAACATGTTACTGTTGTTAGGGCATATGAACTTTAAATAAGTATTACAATGATCAAAAGAAAAATATGCAACTGTAACAATTATTATAAGAAAATCTTTTACTTATAATATCAAGTAAACTTTTAATTCCAAAGTTATTGGAAGACTTATTAAATTGCAAAGGAAGATCTTTTACAAAAAGCTTTTGTGTCTTTCCAGTTATTCTACTCGAGATATAATCTTTTTTCTTTTATTTTTTGCTTTAAATAATTACAACAATTCTAAGCATCTATTTCTGTGGATTATTAAGTTTGTTTTTAATATTTGATAAAACCTTTTGTCCAAATTTAGATGAACTAAGTTATTTTAAATTTGAAGAAAAACATTTCTGTCATTTGCTATTGCACATCATTTAATAATACAAATAAAATTATTTGGCAACTAAGTTCACAGTTCATTATTATTAGAAAAAGAAAATTTCTTAATACAAAAACTTTGTTCTTTTAACTCTAGAATACATAAATAGAAGACATTAACTTTTATTCTTTTTGTCTATTTTTCACATTGATTAGGAGTTTCACTAAATTGGAACAAACCTGTTAATGAGCTTTTTGATGACAGTTGATAATATTTATAAGTCTGCAAATAGGTTTTCAGTTTAATATTACAAGGGATCGTGCAAAATGTGACAACAATGTCATTGTTTCAACAACAATATTATTCATATTCTCACTTTAATAAATAGTTTTCTATTTTGCTTGCAAATTTATATAAAGGCTAAATTCTGGATTAGCTTTTATTTTGATCTGCTGAGGTTCTCATGGTTTCTTTAAAACCATGACAAGGATTTCAGAAAGTACCAAAATTTAATGGCATCCTTTTTATTACTAAAACTACATTAGTAATTTATTTGACTAATACAGTATTTCTATAACATCAGTATCTTAGGTTTTATTAGAAAGTGTCTTTTATTATGGTTTTTAAGTTTCTATGCCTTAATTTAAATGTCTTCTTCACAGAATGAAGGTCATATTAACCAATCTTTTTGTATGTTGCAAAAGAAGACAGATACTTGTTGAGTATATATATATATATATATATATATCATTGCAAAGAGTATTGATGTCTGGAACTATTTGATAGCACTAAATTAACTATTTATCTTCTTGTCTAAGATTGAGCTTGTTCAAATCTGAAAATGTCATTATAATATTTCCAAGCAATGTCTAATTAAATACATTAATTGGACTGAGTTTTACTTCCTCATACTATTACAGTTAACTCTCTCACTAGAATCATATTCTGTCATTTAAACTTTTCTCTGTAAACTTAAACAGTTATAAAATTCTCTCATTTACTCAATACACTCTCATTTTTCACCTTTTTTTTCTCTTAGACAATGTAGTAAAGATTCCTTGCATTATATCACCATTATCACCATTCCAATCCTGAAATTGCACCACCCTAGCAGAAATATTGAAAATATTATTTTCACATTTTCTAAGCTATTTTCTCTTTCTCTTTCAATAATAGAACACACTATATTTTGTATGTTTATTTTAAATATTTTTTTCCAAAAATGGCTACCTTAATTTTTTGTTAATATTATAGAGAAATAGTGACCAGAAATATTAAATGATGTAAAACCTATCTGCTAAATCAAAATGCTACAATTTTTGTCCCCACCCCTTTTTTTTATTCTAAGTTTGAGCCAAAAGTTTAATTTTCTTTATCTTCCATTTTAAAATTAACTATATGCTATATTTTTTTATGTGATTGTTAAAGTTGTCTTTATTTCTGTTTTCTCTTAAGCCTACTTCAATTTTCTGAATTATTTTTCATATATATCATCCATAATTGCAACTATCAAATTCACAAGACAAATTAGCAATGTTTATCAAAACACTTTCAAGATTAATGTATGAAATTTGGTTTGGATTAATTCCCTGTCCCCACCTTTTCTTCCTTGGTCATGCAGCAGATAAGTCAATGAAGGCCAGATGGTAACACAGCTGAAATAAGAAGGGAAAAAACAATGGTGAGGCAATTAGTCCAAACCAACCACATAGAAGGATTAAAACATCTTGTATAACAAAAAGTTAATCATATTTGCATGCAATTTAGTTTTGAATTAAGTATAAAATTTATTTTATCTAGTTTATTTTTACTAATATTTTTACTCTCGTGTTATACTTATGGCCTGTGTGTTCATTTTTTTCTTTCTCTCTTTTTGTATGGCTCTTTATGCATACATATATACATGCCCATACATATTATATTTGTGTTATTTATAGAGGTTTTATGTGTTCATTTCTTAAACATTGGAACTAGGTTTAATATTACTCAAGCATATTTTAGGCAAAACTGAAAAATTATGACTGCACAAAGATGATTATATTAGTCTGAACTTTTTATTGTGCTGCAACTTGTTTAATTTTCCTCTATTACTATGAATTTTTGATCAAGTGATGTTACAAAGCTGTGAGATAGAAATTAATTCAGTTCTTGGATTTTTTCCATTATTTACTTCCATACATATGTAGAATAATAGCTCTATAATAAAGTAGCTAACAAAGCAACTTGACCCACAAGCAAAATAATTGGTCCTGTCCATTCTTTATACAAACCTCTCAACCTTACTTACTTATAATGATATTCAAATGTATCTTCAATTGGAATTACACTCAAGTAAAATTCTACTCGGAAGTTACAAATAATCAATAAGTAGATTTAAATTGAGAGGTAATTATAAGAGATTGGCTAGACTGACTGACTGACTGACTAACTGGGCTCACAACCCATACATGGCTACCTTATTACTGTGTTTGTTAATATTCTATACATGTATAGAAGTGTTATTTTTCATCTTCCACTCTTTTTTTTTTTTTTCTTTCTTTCTTCCTCTTAAATCTTACCCAAATGAGGTTTGGGTGTTTTTTAAGAAGGGTCCTACTCTTATCATTTCTCCAGTGTAGTTTGGGAAGAACCTGCAACTGCCACAGCATGAAGACAGGGAAGCAGAGGTCATAAGGGTGAGTTTCTTTTTTTCCCTTAATTTTTCCTCTTCTCCCTGTGTGTGGGGGGTGCAAGATTTACCACAATAATTTATAAACACATTTTTCTCATTTTGTGAGCATTAGCAACTGAACTGTGAATTTTGTTGCTAATTCACTTCTAAGGAAGGTTCACAAAATTGAAAAACTTTCTAATTAACTTTTCACAGTTTTCCTTAAAAAAATGTTCTTCCCCTTCCCTCCCCCCCTCTCTCTCTCTCTCCCTTACTAGAGTGACATGAAATGGTAATTATATGAAATTAGGGATTTTTATAACTTTAAAAAGCTGGCCTGATCATTAAAATCGCACAAGGGTTGATATACTGCTAAACAAAACTAACCTCATCTAACATTTTATAACTTACATGCATATTTTTAGAGAATATACATTTACTTCAAATGTTGGATGACGTGATAAGAATATTTTTATTAGAAAGTGTAAAAAAAACATTAATCTTTTTCATTTTCTCATTCAGACACTAATTGTTTTGTTTATATCATCTTTCATATCATTCTATTTTAATGACATTTTGTTCTGGGTTTGTCACAAATTATTATAAATTATCTTTCCTTAGAAATTGAAATCAAATTGTTTGCATTTAGTAGTCATTTTTAGGTTTTATTATAAGTAAAACGTTTTCAATGTTTTTTTATTAACTAATGTCTAATTTTATTCATTTGAAAACCAGAAACTTTTACCTCTTCTGCATTTCACACAATTTTTTTTTCACTTCTTTAATTTTGAATAGTTCTCTATGGATTTTGCTGCTGTTATGTTTTTCTTATTTCTTAACATTAAAGTGAATCCTTGAAAACTCTAAGACTATATGATAAATAGATAAGTTTCAAATTAAGAATATTCAGAACACAAACATGCATCTTCTAGTAAGCTCATTTTAATTTCTTGTAAATATATGTATAATATCTTCATAAATCCATTATAAATTTTCCTTTCTCAATCATATTCTTAAGACTATCTACCATTATTGGTTGTAGGCATTGGAATTTTTCTAACAAAACTTATTCACATCTTGTTGTTTTCACAAATATTCTAACCTATAGAATTCAACATTTGATAATACTTGTATGAAGAGAATCTCACCTCATTTTAGTATCCAAGGCTAAAGTTTAAAGCAACTTTTGAGATTAATATGTTTAATGGATGTTTGTCATATTATTAAATATACTTTGTATATTTATGTTCGTATTTTTATATGCTGGATCTCATAACAAAAACAAGAAATAATCCCAGTGGTAAAACATTTATACTAAAATTTCAGTTTTATTAAGTTAGTGTCTAAAAAAATTTCCAAAGTATGTCACACAGCTATTCTTTGTATTTCTGTTCACTAGATTTAGTTTTTATGTTAGATTTTATGCATTAACTCTTGAATGAACTTTAAATTTTTAGTAGTTTCTAAAAGTTGGAATTTCAGAAAATTTGCATGTCATACATTGTCATTATTTCAGTATCACAGTTATCAAAAATAGAAAACTGGCTGCAAAAATCATTTTGGATAGCTTTGGGGGGATCTGGATCTTTTTCTTCTTTTTTTTTTAAATGAAAATGATTATTGAACTTTTCAAATTCCACACAATATTTACCTTTTATTGGTTAAATTATAACAAAAAGAATTTAATTCATAAATTCTGGACTATTGCCAGTTAATGCCTTTATGTAGATAATTTACATCAGTGTACTTAGAATAATTTTGTTTACTACTTAAATATTAAACAGTCATCTTGACACTAGGATTAAAAACACTTCATAATCTCAAGTCTAAAAGTTTAAAACCAATTTCTAATTAGGATATTTATGTTTTTGATGTCAAAGGATTGGTTCTGATTATGTTGATTTAATTATCGTTTGAATAATCATAATCAATTATTCATCTTTACTGTTTTATTTTCTTATCATAAGAACTGCGAATTTTGCTAATAGTTCTTAGAAAATACTCCCTAAATCAAAGATATCTTGTCCAAATGAACCTCCTCCATCATTTTGTGTTGTGTGTTTGCTATTAAGCAATGGTTAACAAGTTAATCATGCAGTAAGTTTAATCCATAGCAGATGCTTCACTATTATTGCCCTGTGCCAGACTATACTTACTAAATACCTACATATAATTTAGATGAATAACTAAATTCTATGATTTCTCAGCAATCTGTGAATGATCACTGTGATCATTACAAATTTGCATTATCTCTATAAAAATATTCATGATTTTTGGTTGGGTTTTTATATATATATATATATATTTACTCAATTAGTTTTTTGTTAATATATCATCATTATTGTCAGCAATAGCAGCAGCTATTGCTTATCTACTGCAGGACAAAGACCCTTCACAGTTCATTTCATGGTGGCCATTACTGTGCTATACTCTGCAATGACTTACCAGCACACCCTTCTATCTCACCTCTCCATTTTCTATCTGCTTTTTTCCTACTATGTTTGCTACCTAATAGGTATCAACAAGCAACATTTTACTCCTTCTATTATCATTTCTTGCTATGTAACAACCCCACCTCCATTTTTGTTGATATTTCTAATCTGTGTCTATTTCCTGATCTCTATTAACTTCCTTTTTATTTCTTATCCAAACCTTGACTCACTTTTGACCTTTGTGCATTTCTCTGTTTTCAAGTGATTTTCTTAAGTTTCATGTTTTGTACATAAGTATTCATTATAATAAATGTTATTTTGTAAGTATATTGGCAAGGTGCTTTTCATTATTTTTTTTTTCTAATAAATGCTTTCAGTCCTATCATTATATGTTGGTTAATTTCTTTTTCATGATCATATTAATGTTATCTATTCTAAGTGTGTGTGTGTATATATATATATATATATATATATATATACACACACACACAAACCTGAACTTCTACCAGTTCATTATTTTCTTTTCTTTTTTCTGAATATTATAACTGAACACTTCTTTTGTTTTATCTCTGTTTTTAAAACCTACATTGAGACTTACCTTACTTTGGTCATTTATCATTTCTTGTAATTCATTTGGTGGTTTTGATATTATTAGGAAATCATAGATGGTTTATGCTTTCACCCATTCCTTCTCAGATACTTTCAATACCTACTGTAAATAGTTTTGGTAAAATCATATTCCTTGTATAAATGTATGTGAGTGAAAGTCAAATTGATTCTTATGCAAGTAACAAATGTGTAGCTAAGAAATGAGGAGTTGTTCCCCTTAAGTTAATTCTGTTGACTATAGCAGAAAGTATTTGAATAAAAGCCTTATAAAAAGTGGTTTTTGCTTTCATGACACTCCTTTTTCAATACTTTTTATCTGTATCTTTGTGTAGTAAAATTAATGCAGGATTTATCATATATATTCTTAATAACATTTATTACTTTAAATGTTATATTTACTCAATACAATACTTCTTTTTTTTTTTTAACAGTTTAAATTTACATCTGTTAGTTTGTGTATTTGAGCGTCTTGATAAAAAAATGTGTCTTTGTGTTTGAATCTGCATCCCTTTTATAAAAGAAACCAGTATTTAGCCTGTTGTGCTCAGTTAAAATTAGCTGATATGGGATTCCAGAGAACCAAGAGAAATGTACATTTCTTAAAAGAGTGATTGAACTTTGCTGTGATAGCTTTCTGTGTCTGAGCAGTCTAAAGCATGCTGGACCAGATGTTAGTTTTTAATTATAGGGGTGATGTATCTTGAAACCTTGCCAAAAGACAGGCATATTTTCTTTATTAAAACTCTAGAATGCACAGGCTGCTTAGATAGACATTTATATTGTTTAAAGAACATGAATGTTTGCACAAACACATGTATCCTCTGAATATAGTGTTTAAAGAAATAATGTCAAATTATGAATAAAATCCATTAATTCTTTAAAAATGAGTTTTATATAAATTTTATCAATACCCTGCTCTGTTGCATGTTCTACCAAAATAAATGTTTTTGTTTTTTGGGGGTTTTTTTTGAGACAACAAAAGCTAAATAAATTTGTTTGTAGTATTCTGTTGGTTTTTTTTATCAGTTGATTTATTGTTTGTAGATGGTCTATTGTTGTAGCTACTCTGAAAACTTGTCTTTTTACATAGCTGATTTTCATGTAGAGTGTTCTTTAGCCTTTTTATTAGTATTTATGGAAATAGTTTGTATATGCTCAATAGTAATGTGATAAGGAAATAGTTACTACTAAGGTTTTTTTTTTTCTCGTTTTATTATAAAGTAGGATTACTATTCCTAGATTGCATCTCTCAAAAGGTCTGTTATTATGCCATCTTCACCTTGGTGCTTTTCTTTACATTTTGAAGCACAAACCTTATTTTATCTGTTGTTACCTCAGGAACATCACTAGTATCTGCCAGATTAAGTGTTAGTGGTATTTTAATTTTCAGAACCTACAGTTTTGCATACTACTCCTCAGTTATCCTTAACTTCTTTATATTTGCTAATGTCCTGTTTCTATCTATCAATGCAAGCATTTGTTGTTTATCTATGTGGAATATTGATCAAATATGTTACAAGCTCTTCCTTTCCATTTCTGATATCTTTGTATATGTGCATGTGTGTGTGACTTTATATGTATTGATTGTAAACAGTTATTTCAGTTTTGTCAGGCTACATATCTTTAATCATCTCTGAAAGTAAGAATTTAAAACTAAATTTTTTTAACATTTTTTATTTACAGTTGTCTTTATATTTGTGTATTTTGTTATTAATTTAAAAAAAATGCAAATATAAACACATTATTTCCAATAATTTTCTATTGGAAAACTTTGATACTTGATCTTGTTTCATATAATTGCAAAAATAGATTACTGAGAAATTTTCTTGAAAACATTTTCATTATTAACCAAAGGGAAATAAAAACAAAAAAGCTGTTTAATTTTATTATTTTATCACTCAACTTATACAACTAGACAATCATAATAATAAAATAAAATATTTTAGAATGTATCAAGTTTTTTAAATTCATCTTAATGTGACGGTCATTATTAACTTATGTGAGGTTTACAAATTTCATTTTATATCTAACAACTTGAATTGTCTCAGCTGTCATCTCCAAACCTACATTAAAATATACATTCCATTACATCTAAGAATTGTTTTAATTATCATTTTGATATTTTTACAGAGCTATTTAAAGTCCATTTATATCATGTAGGAATGTTATACCTTTCAATGTTACCATGGACCTTTCCTGAAACAAATTACATTAAACTCTATAATGGAAATTACTGTAAGACTTTTTTATGTAAAATCTACAATGAACACTGGAAAATAAGTATAAATGTAAAAGGTTAAAAACTATTTTTTCTAGTTTTTATTTTAATATAACTTTAATACATTCCACTTTGAAATATTTCAGTTGAAGAAGAAAATGCACTTATCAGAAGGATAATTAGTTTCAAGCAGTATGTGTATCCAAACCTATGTACCAACTGTCCTCAATTTTCAAGCTTAGACAAAGAAGTTACTTTAAAGAAAAGGTCAAAGAAATAAGAAATCACTTTCATATTAATGATGTTGGAAATGTGTATTTAAGTTTTTTTTTTCAAAACAGTTTTATGATAGAATCTTAATTCTTTTTCTGTTATGTATGTGAAAATACAGTAGTGTACAAAAGTCTTTGACAACTTTGAACTATTGTAATTTTCTAATAATTGCCAGTTTATAAGTGAATGTTTTGTATCATGTTTTCTTCAGATGAAACATTGGCCTGATTGAAGTCATTCCCATACCTAACTATCATATTTTGTAGCAGTGGTGCTGAATGAGAGGGAACGATGTGAGACAACCCCCAAAAGTGGCTGCTCAAAAGCTTTTGGCCACTTCACATGAATCAAGCCAGATGCAGTATTTTAAACAGAAAAATATCTATAATTCAAATTTATTATGTAACATTAATTTCAAGAAGTTACTTCTTCTTTATTTTTTTTTTTTTTTTTTTTTTAATATTTCATGTGACTTCCTGTAGTTTAAATTGCTTCATTGTATTTGGTACGATTCAAGCTACCTTCAAATTTAACCAACTTTCTTGAACCAAAACTTTTTATATATCTCCAAAGCATATGATTCTTACTCTCAAACTTCACTGTTTTCATCATGTACCATGGGAGGTTTCACTTTCTTGTAGGCCTTCTGACAAATTCTCACTTATTAGAATGCAGCTCTATCCTTGTTTCATTGCTTAATGAGATCTTATTCCAAACATCCCATAATTTATACCTCTTTGACCAACTTAAACTTGCTTTCAAATGCTTTTTGTTTAATGCTAGTTTCTTAGCTGAAATGCACTTCTTTTGTTCATATTTCTGAAGGCTGATGCTTTGTGGTATCTCAGTCAGTTATGTGCCATGTGTGATACAGCATAGGTGAATATGTATTTCAATACATCACTGACGAAGCAGATTTTTTTTCCACAGTAGGTTGCCATTTCTTTCTGCAGTAGACCAGTTGCTATCCAAGGCTATAGAACCTGGTCTATCCTGCTATTTACCCATAGCTGGGGGAGAAGAAGAGGATCCATACCTTTCCCAAGAGTATTAGCACGTATATGGATTCAACTAGAATTTGATTCTCCAATTCCTCAATCTGAGCCGCTATCCATTATTCCACTGTGCCTACGCAACCTACTGCGGGAAAAAATCTGCCTTGTATCAAAAAATACATGATCACCTAAGCCCACATCACGCACAACACATAACTGACTTGTGGTATCTACTGACATCAAATTGGACAATCTATCCATCTATTATTTTGCAGTTCCTTTAGTTGAGTTTTTGCTGTCTTAAAATGTTTCAATACTACCATGCTGCTAATTTGGTTAGCCATATCCTAGTCAATCCAAAACACTCTCAATGTTTTGAAACTTCAAGAGGAATTCTGAAATACTGCTTCTTGAAAATCTGCTCTGCAGGTTTATATTCTTGGCCAACTTCACTCTTCATCTTTGTTTCTTTGAAAATTTTTACCATGGTTTCAAAAAATAAAATAAAGTAATTTAGTGTAAGAATTTTCACTGTGAAAAAAATGTTGTATTGTTTTTAAAAAAAATTTGTATCATAGCAACTTTTGTTTGTAACAGCACCAAAAATAGAATATCAAAAATGCCAATTTAGGAAGTTACTTTGCTTCTTTTCCTCTCATTCAGAATCTCTGCTACCAAATATAATTAGCTATGGAAATAATTCCAATGAGGCCAATGTTTCATCTGGAGAAAATGTGATGAAACACATCCATTTATAAGCTGACAATTATTAAAGCTTTATAACAGTTTAAAGTGGCCAACAACTTTTGCATGCTACTGTATAAAGGTTATATCCCAAGGTTTTAACCAAATTAATTATATTTTTTAGTTGTGAAAAAAATATACATTCACATTTACTAAATATATAATAAGAGTCCCCCCCCCCGCTATCAAAATGTTCCAGAATATATACAGTATTAAATAACTATTTAACTGTTTTTGTTCTTATTTCCTATGTATTTAGAAATATAAAAAACTACTTTGAGCTATAACTAGAAATAGAATAAAAGATTGTAATAAGTAAAAAAAAAAAATAAAAGATTTGTAGATACTTTCATGTTAAGTACATTTTATGTTCAGAAAATTCTTTCCTATATATGACAATATACATTTTGTATATCAAGTGAAAGAAGAGCAAAATACATTTAAAAACTAATTCATTTTACAGGTTTGATAATGTTATAGAAAATAATTTTCATTTGACAAAATAAATTATATTTTTAAGAAACAATAGACTTTTTACATAAAATATATTAGGGAAATTGCATGACAAAGTGGAAAAAGTTTACTTGTTTCAACCTTCAGCACTTTATCGGACTAAATTTGTTATGAAGTTCTGAAGGATCAAACACATCACAAGTAAACTTTTTCCACTTTGTCATACAATTTCCCTAATACTGTTTTTGATATATAAAATTATATATATTATTATTATTTCATACAATATATTGTTTGCAATGAATGAATATCCGTTTTGTAAAATTGTGTGTATCGTCATCCTTCTTCAGCAGAAATAAAAACATATTCATATCAGATTTTTCTTTTATGATGTGGAATCTTTTTTTAATTTTGTTATTTATAGAGAGTCAGAAAATGTTTTAAGGAAAATAATTCCACTATCTATTTACACTGTTATTACATACAAGGTTTTATTGTTCATAAACTCTCTTGGAAAAGGTATGAATCAATCTCTCCCTCCCATCTATAGGTTAAATAGTAGAACGTGTATCTAGAAAAATCCTTATTCTGAAAAAATTTTTTAAAGCAATATTTACTCAAAAACAAAAAAATATTCTTACAATCCAAAATGTTTTGACTTTAAATAATCTATAAAACATTAAAAAAAATCAATCAATAGTTTGTAAACTAATAAACTGGCTAAATACTGCTACTTTTTATTTTTGCTGTGTATGTTGGTGTATAAGTCAATTCATAAAATTCTGAAATCTTTATTTGCTAGATAAGTCTACTTCTAGAAAAAGGCAAAATCACTTTCATCAAATTGACAGGGTTTAATCAGACTGATATGACCAATTTGCATAAAATGGGGCAAGAGATACTTAAACTTATATGTAGTTATTTTTAAGCAAAAATTAGAATTTTCTCCTAAAGTTATAGGGTACACTGCCTTTATTGAATCGTTTATTTGTGTATTTGAAATATTGGTAACAGTATTTTCTCTGAATCAATGAATGAATGAATATTCTATTTTTCATTTCTTGCTTTTTAAGTTAATTTTTTAACAAGACTATTATTTATTAAAATCAAAATTAAACTTGGTAGTTTCACAAAACGTTTTTTTATATTCAATCATAGATAATTCTTTTTACCAAGGCTTATCTATGTTTGCATATAAGAAAACATTTTCTGAAACTACCAAGTTTGATTTTAAGACTTGAAACAAGAACTGACCATATTGAAAGTTCTTTCCCTGTCTATAGAACTATATAAAACCTAACATTTTTCTTTTGTCTATATATTGTTGTAGGTTTTCCACACAAACTTCAGGTGTCTATAGTTTATCCTGATCTTCTTTTTTTTTCTTCTTTAATAGGTCAAATATATTTTTCTAAAATTGAATATTTTACCATTGCTTGGCAGTAGTGTTAGGCTTTGCAGATGTTGTAGAGCATATCTGTTTCATGATACTAATTTTTCATTCCTAACTATAAACAGTTTAGATTATTATTAGTAGTAGTAACAATAATTTACTCAGTTAAAGACCTGTTAAGTAATTGTCTTTATGTAATAAACTCCTACAAAGGACAATATGAAATTGATTTGTTTTACAAAAGCAATTTGGAAGTATGATCTAAAGTTTAAGTTAACTTTTTCAAATAACAAAATGGTGGACATCAGTGTAACAGGTATATCAAATGTTGACTGGTAAAACTAGTGAAAGCCATCTTTTGTTCTAAAATGTGTATGTATAATATCAATAAACAAGATACTATGAATATTTTTTAACTATAGACCCTAGTTAAATGAACTGTGATTTTTCTTCTTATTGTTCATATTTTCTTTTCTTTCAGATGGAGCAACGAATGACACTGCCCCTAAGGAAGGTGTTGCAACAGGCTCTCCTGGTCAGAACAGGCATCGGTGACTGCTGTATATACAAATTGTAAAATACTACAGGCATAATTTATTTGGGCTGATGAGCTGTTGCCTCCACCACCACCACCATTACCACCACTACCACCACCACAACTACTACTACTACAACTACTACTACTACTACTACTACCACCTGTGCTGCACACTAAGTTAGAGGCCGCTGCCATCACTTTCTTTTCTTCTCAGACTGGCCCCGTCCTGTCAATGCCGCCACCAAAAATAAATAATTATCACTGTTCTAAACCTTTTACTACTTTTACAGATGGGGTGTCGGTGGATGTGAGGCTTGAGGTCTTCTACTATCTATCTTCCTACTACTATTGCTACTACTATTAATCATCTATGTACTACATCTACTACAACTCCTACTACTACTACTACCACCAGAAACACAATCCCACTGCATCTTTGGGTTAATTATTGTTGTTTGTTATTGTTGTGTTGTAGTCTTAGCTCTAAAAATAAAAATAAAAAAAGAAACAAGAAACTGAAAACAAAAAATGATGAAAATTTTATATCTCTCTCTCTTCCCCATCCTTATCAATTCAATTCTTTATCAATTTGGGTTCCTGTAAATTAATGGGGCTTAAGGGTTTCTATAAGTAAGAATTTGGGTTCATTTTTTTATGAGTTATATATATATATATATATATATATATAGTAAAAGAAAAATGTTCTTTTTCCTTTCGTTTAATTTAATTTGCCAACTAATAAAACAGTGATTAGGGATCTTTTTTGTTTAGTCTTTAGTTGGCATCACTAAAAAAAATGTCTGATTCTGCAGGAGACAATGACAATATCAACTGGTGGCTCAATTGCTTTTTTTGTTTTTGTTTTACTAGTCATAGAAGTTCATGTTAAAAATATGAAATGACACAGTTGTCTAGCTACACCTGGATCAGTATTGTCATTTACTACATATACATATGTATACATACATACATACATACAAATTTCTTTTGTATTTCCCTTTGTCTTTCCCTAATCATTTTTAAAAGTAAATTTATTGATTCTTTTTTTGATTGAGAATAAATATAAGTATTTCCGTACACTTTTTTTTTTTTTTATAACTCTCATGTGGACATGCATCTAAAATGTAAAGGAATGTCAAATAAATCAGCTGTTATTATCATTAATATTACTAAATTACTACTACAACAGTCATGCAACAATGTCTGTCTTGGTATACGACATTTAACAGATTGAATAAACCTGGGGTTGGTTGTTGGTTTAAAACCACATAATGGAATTATTTATTTAGTAGTTTTTATGTAAGTCTTTAAATTTAGAACTAATTTCTTCCACTCTGATTTGGCACTCATTTATGTTATAAGATTTCTATAAGGGATGTTATTCTTTCTCAACAGTCAACAAAATCATGGTTCACCTATTAGGGATTATTCCATATTTCTTGGGTGTTTTGTTTTTTGTTTATAATATATATTTAGTTGACCAATTAACATGATCTCATCACCAAGTCTCTATTTAAGTCAAGTTCTCTCTTTTGTCACTTTTGTGGTAACCTAACCCAAGTTAATTGCTTAGCAATCTTTTGTTCATTGATTAATCAATATTCTTAATTACTTAAGAGTAAGTTCTTGCACATTTATTGCTCTATAAAACCTCTCTCTCTCACTCACCACCCTTTTTTTTCTAATCATTTATATCCCTGTATATATATAATTAACAAGAATCTTACATTGATCCTACTCTGGTGGCCTGTTTAGAATTCCTCTAACTTATCAGTGTTTTAGAAATCTGCCTAATATTTTAGAAAGTGGAGTTGATATCTGTAACATTTTTAGATTATTTAGAAAATTTATACAAAGCAACAACTAAAATGGTGGCAGTCTGGTTGTTTTAATCCTTTCCTCATCTCCTACTTGTCATATTTGGGGGATTTAACTATCAACCTAGCATTTTCAAATTTACTGACCTTTTCATTTTTCCTCCTCATTGTCATTGTTATATAACCTGGTGACATGATGGATTCTCAATTATGATCTATTTTCTGCTCAAAAGAGGATCCATTGTGTAGACAAGTTTATGGTTCAAATTATTGTTTACTACTACTATTAATATTATTATTATCATCATCATCACTCTGCTTATTGTTTTACTTATTAATATAATTATCATTTTCATTATCATCATCCTCATTGTCATCATTATCATCATGTTTGGTACTTCTTCCCCCAACTGATTTTTTCCAAGGTGGAAAAATAAGGCCAGATTAAAATTTTTTTTTTTTTTTTTTTTTTTAAATTTAAAAAATTTTGAAGAAACAAAAAATGCAGAACTAAAAGAAATGATCTCTCAGTTGTTAATAACACTTGAACCTGTTTACTCTATACGTAGCCACAATGCAGAAAACTTAGTATCAGTTGGGACATCACTTTAATATATATATATATATATATATATATATATATATATATATATGCACATCAGCAGCAGCACCCTGTAGTTTTTAAAACAAAAAAAAATGAAAAAAAATATTAGATATTAAAATATAACCTCAACGAATTCACCTGCAGGCAGGCAAGAATTCATATTGTAGATTACTTTTTGTTTTTCTGATCTTGTTTGATTAAGAATGAATTAATTCTATCAAAATTTAAAAATGTGTTGATGTTTTGTATATTGGGGAAACAAACACATGTAACAAAAATTTTAAAAAGCCAAAAAAATTCTCTCTCTCTTTCTCTCTCTCTCTCTCTCTCTCAGGTGGGTATTGTAGCTCATCTGATTTTAAAAAATCAATTTTAACTTAGTTATATTAGTAAAAAAAAAAAAAAGAAATGAAAAAAAAATAGAAAAAAAGAACATGGTTGTCTCCCTTTAGGGACAACCATCTACACTTTTGGGAAGTCTTTCACACTTTGTGCCCTCTGTGCTTAGTTCATTTGCATACTTGTCAAACCTATAAAACCCAACAGTATAGCTATCTACTTTAATAATAACTTTGTCTTTTCTCTCTGATAATTTACCAGTATTGAAATGAAATTTTTTTCTTTTAAGAAAAATTAATTTTGTTTTTAAAAGAGAATTCATGTCCTTTATTAAGTTTTTGTTCATTTCTAAACCAATTTTTCTGTCTCTCTTTCTTTCTCTCAGGTAACCATGTCTTTTTTTGTACAGTTATTTGGTGCCAATGTAATACAAATTATTCCTTACAGAGTGAATCTATTATAAAGAGAAAAGAATTATAATTCAAGGAAGGAAACATACTCAAGGATTTTTCAAAAGAAAATAAAGTGTACTTTGTCTCACTGTTAATATATTATCAAGTCAATTATTACATTTGCTTTTTCATATATTCTTCTGACACATTTTTCAATCTTCTTTCTCTCTTTTTTGACTGTTGTTTGCAGCTATCATGTCTGTCTATATTAACAATTTGTATCAAAACAAAATGCAAGAAAAAATACACTTAAATTCTAAGTGCATTAATTGATATATATATTATTAAGTGTTAACTGACTATATGTCAGCTTTATTCCTATCATTTTAAACTTTAGTTTCAACATTTTATACTATTATATAAATTTATCTAGTAGTGATGGCTTCCTTGACAAACTCAATGTTAGGAAATTTTTTAAACTTATTCAGTTGCAAATAGTGCCTTCTTAATAAAAATGTCTAATGTAATTAAAAGGTTTCAATGTGGAGCAGCAATCATAACAATGTCAACTTATTCTGTGTGATCCTACAAACAATTTTTGATTACCAATTGTTCTATTTTTCAACACCAGAAGAAAAAAGAAATTAGATTAAGACACAAATTAAAATACATTTCTATCAGCAAATTCAAAATGTAAGAAATTGTCTTGAATATTTTTTTAATTTCTGGATTTTAAAGACATTCATTTCAATTGAAGTTTTAGATGCTACTTTAATTGTCATAAATATTTTCTTTTAATTCAGGAGTCTGCTTTAAGTTTAAATATGTAATTTATTTCTATTCTGTTATAAAACAATATTTATTTTCTTTTTTTTTCTTGCAAGGTTTGATATGTATTACTTAATTTTTATATTTTATAAAAATATTTGCATTTCCTTAATTAGATCAAGTTAATTTTTGTTTACACATTAAAACAATATTGTTATTTTGACCTTAATAATGTAAAGTTAATATTGTTGGCATATCTTCAATTGAATGGCAGTATGTCTTTTTCAATATATAGATAAAACATAACAACAACAATTCAAGACAAACTTTTTAAATATTATGCAAATTCAAAATGTTTATTTTTGCAATTGGTATTTCACCTATCTCAATATTTGTTGGTATTGTTTTTATCTGGATATATAAAATTATTTCAATTAATGTACAACAATCTATCAGCATAGAATTTTGTTTTTTAATTTTAAATAAAAAAATTTACTTATTGCATAAAAATTAGTGACTTCTATTAAAAGAATATTTTATTAGCTATAACATGGAGCACAAAGTTAAATTTGTACATTTTAACAACAACAACAACAACAACAACAAATCTAACCGTTTACTTTGTATCACTTTTCAATAATATATGCTTTTTTTTTTCTTTTTTTTTTCAAACATTAAAAAATGTGGCAAAAATAGTTTTATGATATTTTTAAAAATTATAAATAAAGTATGACAAAAATCATTTTATATTTTTGTTCTACTTGTATCTTATTTTGTCCTTTTTTTTATTTATTTTTACTTTTGATCATGTTATTAACAATTAATTTATTCTTGTGACTTTGCAATAACAAAGATATTTTGCTTTTTGAAATGTTTACCAAATTTTATTTCTACACATCATTTCCTACTAGACACATTACGTAAACTTTTACTAACTACTTTATACATTTAAGCTACCAAACAAAATATTAATTCTTCAGTGTAAGAATTATTTCAATAGATCCCCTTTAATGTTTCTCTTACAGTCACATAAACACTTTATATTTTACAGACATCATGGTTCTTTTTATGCAGATATTTAATATTTGAAAAGATTT